TGTTGTGCTAGGAGTTCAAGTTCATCTTGCTTATTTCCCATGCTCCCAGATGGTTTCCATGGCTGGGTGGAGATTTGAACCCTGGTCACACAGGAACCTAGTCCAACACTGAAACCTCTACACCACATTGGCTTTCAGTATCCCATTCTACATTAGAGAGAAAAGTGCCAAGAGGCGTCACTGTTCCACTACTAGCCATTGTGCCCATACTAGCAGAAAAATTACAATAACTTGCAAAAGCACTTCATGGCCAAGCTAAATGGTAATCAATAGTATAATACCTGATACACTAACTTGTGATTTGAATATTCAGACTTTTTTTTGTTGTTGGTACAGTGGGCCCTTGATATCTGCTGGGGTTTGGGGTTTGGTTCCAGGACCCCCTTTGGAAACCAAAATCTTTGGATGCTCAAGTCCCATTAAATACAATGGTGTAGTAAAATGGTGTCCTTTATATAAAATGGCAAAGTCATACATACATAGATAGTCTAACTATTGATGGTTGAATCTATGGATAAAGAATTCATGGACATGGATATGGAGGGCCAACTGTACTCTAAAACCAGATTTTATTCTTCTGCTTTTCTTGACTTTTTTTTTTGTTGTTACTGGCAAACTCAAGGTTCTTGGTGGTGTGGCCTCAAGAAACTGTTTTCTGTCACACATCTCAAGTCATCATGCAGATTGTGACCTGAATCCTGTTGGTCAGTTCCAAATAAAGTAGATACCTTGGAATTGTCGGATTTACCTATGTGTTAACTCATCATTAAACAGTTGATTAAATGGGTTTAATTTAGTTAGGAGTAGGCAAAAATAAAAAAAATAAATATTCAAGCTTGCATAACTCTAACATTGCCACTCCTCCCTTCTCTTGCATTAAAAAAAAATCTTTGCCTGATGAAGTAATCTATGAGTCTGAAAGCTTGCATATAGATTTTTGTGCTCTTTCCATTTGAGAGCCAGTGTGGTGTAGTGGTTTGAGTGCTGGACTATGACTCTGGAGATCAGGGTTCGGTTACCAGCTCAGCCATGTAAACTCACTGGATGACCTTGGGAAAGCTAGTGGATGTCCTTGGGAAATATGACAATGGCAAATCCCCTCTGAATAAACTTTCCAAGAAAACTCCATGATAGCTTTGCCTTAGGGTCACCATAAGTCTGAAACGACTTGAAGGCACACGACAATAATAAAGTTTTGCCACAACATTAACTTTGCAATCATAGACCCATAGAGCTGGGAGGACTGCAGAAACATCTACTCCAATCCTCAGTGCAGGGATGCACTGTTAAAGTACACTTGAGAGGTGGCCATCTAACTACTGTTTAAAAACCTCCAAAGAAGGAAAGTCTACCATTTTCCTAGATAGCCTTCTATGTTGAACAGCTCTTAACATCAGGAAGTCTACCTAGTGTTTGCTTAGAATCATATTGTAATTCGAAGCTTTTTTTGGAGGGGGGGGGGTTTGGCATCCCCTGGAAACAGCAGAAAACAAGTTCTTCACTCCATCTGCCACCTGACAGCCCTTCAGATATTTAAAAGACATTGAAGGCTGGAATTTGTCCTATAGCCAGCACAGCTGTTTAACAACTGCTAGGTGTATTTGTTACTGAAGTACAATATGGCTGCCAACAACTTTCAGCACTCACATTTTGAAAATATTGGCATTCAATCTCTGTCCTTAGCATGCGTGTGTGCACACGCGCGCGCACACACACACACACACACACACAGAGGTTTAAGTAGAAATCTAATGGTAGGTTATTAAGTGGTGCTCTTAACCCCCGGATGTGCTCTTTCAGTGCTGAGAGAATACTAAATAACATCT